GAGGGCGAGAGAGGGCGAGAGAGGGCGAGGGAGCACAAGAGAGGGAGAGGGGACGAGAGAGGGCGAGAGAGCACAAGAAAGGGCGAGGGAGAGGGCGAGGGAGCACAAGAGAGGGAGAGGGGACGAGAGAGGGCGAGAGAGCATAAGAGAGGGAGAGGGGACGAGAGAGGGCGAGAGAGCATAAGAGAGGGAGAGGGGACGAGAGAGGGCGAGAGAGGGCGAGAGAGGGAGAGGGGACGAGAGAGAAAGAGGGAGTATGAGAGAGGGCGAGTGATAAGATAGCGATTCGCGGAGGGGTACTGTTAAGACATTTATGTTTATGTAATTTTTTAATAAAGTTATTCAAATATTCATTCATTGTCAGGATTCAGACACTTTCTGCCAGGTACTGCAATTTCCAATAAATCTGCATTGTTTATTACCAGCATTCAGGTTGGGAGGTCATATGACTGTAACCCATGTGAAATACAGGGCTACTAAACCCCTTGTAATTATTTTGAGTTATTATTAGTATTGTTATACAGTGGCGCTCTGAAACTATGTATGATGAACTTACATGTTGTGCAAAGGAAGTGCCGTCTGTCTCTTCCTGGTGAGCTCTTTCTACGGAAACTGGACTCAAACTCTGAGCACAAAGAAACTAACATCTGTCAGGTTATTTGTGTTGGAAAATTTCATTTCATTCTCAAAAACCTCCTTCTTGACCCACCTAAATGTCTGGGCTCTCTGTTGAAGCTGATATTGCACAGGTCTTGAGTAGAGGCGCTGCATGATGATGATAATGCTTCGATTGCACAATCCTAAGATTATAGAAATAGATATAGAAAATGACATTGATATAGCAAGATTGCATCTCCCTCCCTTTTTTACAAAAAACTGGTCTCACTTAGTAGAGAATAAGTTTCTTAAATTAGGCAAAAGCTGGTTTTCAAATTGTTTTGCATTTTGAAATATGCAGGTTTTTTTGGTTATATGTCTTGAGATTTAAAAGTGATTATTTTTACGTTTGGATTGCTTTTGTAATTGGTAGCTTAATGCATTAAGAACTAGCGAGCAATAACAGCAAAAGTTGGCAAGATTTAATGTAAAAATTATTGAGCAACACTAATGAGATCAATACAGTAACCTGGAGACCCGCAAAATGGGAGTTATGTAACATATGCACCACCTTGAAATTACATGTTATCCGAGAAGTTGAAGCTCTTTTCTTTTCCCTCCTGCTTCAGTGAGGTGAGGTTTGGGTCCAGTATAAAAGGCCATTTCCCTGCTTTTCAAGTTTTCTCAACCAGTGCAATTCTTCTTTGATGGTCATCTGGGCACAGGTCTTCATTAAAGCACAGATGCTCCAGTTTTGGTAGCGCTATAGGCAAAGGTCCCGCCGTCTTTTATAACATGATAATTCAAGTATCTTGCTTTCCATTTTTTTAGCTCAATTTTATTGACTCTCTTGATAGTTTTATATATTTTTTTCACCTCTTTAATTTCATAGTGGATTAATTCCACTGACTCTTTCACACGATTAATTCTAGCTTACAGGTCATCAGCTCTTTCATTAAAAATATACAATTATTTAGGATATAATATTTTGTGCCAAATCAACTTCATCCAGTACTTTGTTTTTTGTTGGGGGTTTTGGTAGGAGTATTACCAAAACTCTTCAGATTTATTTAATTATTTGTTGTAACTGTAGGAAGTCATTCTAAGAGACAAAGGGAGTAGCGAATTAATTTTGCCAGACGGTGAAAATCACAGCACTACAGGCTACTCAGACTGGCTCTTTTCATAAAGGGAGGTTGGGAGATGCTGTACCGAGTGTGTGTTTGCCAGGGCCCTTTATCAGGATGGGTTAAAGTTTA